TATCCCCTGTGTGCCTTGTCGACTCAGTTAAATCTTGAATTCGTAGCGATGACGGGACGCTTGACTGCAGAAATTGTTCAATGTCCATACGTCTCTCAATGAACATCCTCCACATTCCATAAGACAGGATAATGTAATTGCCTCGGTTGTCACCAATAAGTATTTCCACATGAGATATAGATCCCACGATGATTCCAATATCCAAGTATTTAAAATTAGTGGATGTTAGAGCGAATCTTCTTTCCCAATATACGAGGCGTCTTCGTAATATGAGACACAATTCTGTAAAAGAATTAAAGCATGGAAAAACATAAAATAAGCGTGGAAAATAATATATTGAAACTTACGGTCTCTCGATCGCCTCATCCTTCAGTGGAACGTAGTAATCCATATCTAATATACCCACTCTATTACCACCTCGTCGTCAAACTTTGTTTCAAGTGCGCGTTTCAAAGTGCGAGTGACCCATCCATACTTCCGCCGACTTATATCTGTATCCCCCCCTCCCGTGTTCACCTCTATATAGATCTTCTCTCTAAAGATAACTGATATTGGCATATAATAGGCGTAAAATTCATCGGGCTGCTCACCCGCTTGGTGAAAAAATACGGATCTCCACCACACATCTGAAGATGATTCATCTTCAGTGTAGCGATATTCACTAATACCACGAATAGTTGAATGACATGTTTGAAGGAATGATACTGTCACATCATTCCAATATATATCACGATAATGGTTAGTACCACACACCTGCAGTTGCTGCCGTAAGTAATGGTCGGGACATAACGTCGCAAATCGATTAGTAATCACATTTGGAAATCCGCATTCTCTTTCACGAAGAAGACGAACTATCGCAGAACAGTAACTTGTTTTGAATTTGATTCCATGTTTTTTCCCGTACTCGCGAATCACTCGCTTGAGCGTAGCCATGTCTCCTTCGCTCGACATTTTTAACAATCTGAAATCTTGCGAGCATTTATAAGAGCATTTATACGAGCAGCCATAATGCCTCGCGATGAAATCACATCGTCAAACTGACGTAAAAACTGCAATTTAGCATATTGGTGAA